ATGATGCGACAGATCCTCCTGTCAATTCACTTGATATGAACGAGGATTTAAAGTGGCTGGAAGGGATGAACCTCAAGTGGTCTGAATAGCTGAACCATGTCATCGACCAGGGGACTGAAGTTCTGCAGGTGTGGAGCATGACTGGGGTGAACTGGCCACGGCCTCCGCCGTGAACGAGCAAGGAGAACCAGGTGACTTAAAGCAGGCGTCGCAGAGCACTGCCAGAGGGAGAGACGTTTCCCGTCTCAACGGGAAACAAACAGTACATATCCAATGGAAAACATTTAACGTACTCGGGTTTTAAGAAAAGCAAATACAGCAGAAATGCACCGTCCCCCGGGCAGCTGACGGATAGCTCTCACGGTTACAAGAAATATCAATCATGACATAAAGGTTCTTGGAAGGTCGCCGGGACTTGACAGCCAGCAGAGTCTGCGGTGTGACTAACAGTGAGCGGAATACAAGCACACCCACATGGAAAGCAGCATTATCGCTAGAATCACACTGAGTCCTGCAGTGAGGTCACCGATCCCGGTCCTACGATTTGGGATCTCAATTTCAGCGGAGGTCTTTTCTAAAGCGAATCCTTCACTCGGCCAGAAGGTTGCTTGGACAGAACCTCTGCCGAGCTTTTTATCGACCCAAAGCTTGGCGATTTTAAATCGCCCGAGAAACGTAATACTTAAAAAGACAACCTCCTTCGCGTTTAGGAAATGAAAACAATCAGAGTTCCAAGTCGCAACCATCATCATTAGGTCCATATCGGCTCAATTACTGAACTCAGGGTAATTACTCAGTGCTCAGGGTAAACACAGACCAGCAGGTAATGTGGTTGTGCCTTGTGTTTAACAACGAACTTCAGGAAAGCAACAACACACAACGCAGCGCATTCACTCTATACAGCAACGGCACACTGCAGTGTGAAAACTCAAGACATGCGCCCACAGGCTCTGGACGGACCCACGTGTGTAACACAGCAAGGACTTCTGAGCAAGCCAAGAACAGAAAACGTTCAGAATATTTCAGCACGATAATTTAATAAAGGCGATATTATCACTTACGTTGTGATGTGGAAAGGCTGCGTGCTCTAATTCGTCTACTGCGGGTATTTATCTTGTACAAGCCTACCAGCTCGGAGCGAACTTCCTGCGCCGAGACACCGAACCAGGAACCTGGGGAGGCGTTTGAGGTCGATCACTCTGTAATCGTTCAAATGAGTTAAGAATGCGGCATGGCATCACAATACCTAGCATAACCTTTTATATTACTGCATTTAATGATAATATATATAGACACACACCTTGTGTTTCATTTCAGACTTTGTGTTTTCTTGCTGTTTATTCGTTTTTCACTTTCTGGTGCGGGATGTGTTTCATAGTTTGATTACTCTGGTCTGTTATTTTATTTGCTACAGAAGAGATTGTAGAACAATTACCATTTCATTAGGGAACGAAAAACGGAATATTAAAACGATAGACATGAATTTAGGAGTGAAAATATGAAGATCAGGTTTTCACATATTCAAAAATGGATCCTTCAGATGGCTAAGAGTTTGATTTTTATGTGAGGTTTAATGGCGTGTGTTTTTAAACTAGTGAGTACCACCCAAATGATCCCTAACCTCTGTGCTTTTAGGAAGTGATGAAGTTTTTTTTATTGTGAATCATCTGACTGGGAGCACAGCAGGTATCTGTAGTAAATGTGATGGGGATTATAATTGCCAAATTGTGTTTTTGCAGAAGGATATGAAAAAAATAACTCAGCGCCGTTTGCGTAACTGTTACGAAGACCGGAAAAATGTTTTAATTTAAGAGCAATTCAACTTTGAACTCGCAAGAGATTCTTTTTTTACAGTATTTTGGAGAAAAGACTGGTAAGACCCACCTCTTAACGTGTTCTTTACATTTCTGTTGCAATTAAGATTTGGGATGATACAATGAAAGAGAAAATTCCCATCGTCGCAGTCTGATAAATTGTATTACACAAGGTGTAAAATGCTACATACGGAGTCCTGCTATTTCAGCATATAATGGTGGCAGACAAGTCATTCAGTGGTCAGTGTGGCTGAGCTGAGTTTTAATAATATTTTTAATAATGATAATAATAATTTTGACTAGTGAGTTCATGGCTACAAGCGCGTATTTTATTCCAGAGGCTCAGTAAGCGAGCATTCGACACTGCTGCATTTCGGAAACAGGCAGCTGTTTTCGGAAACACGTTATAAAGTTTCACTGTTTTACGTAAAAATCGCACGCCGTCACTCCGCAAAACCTACACAAACAGATACAACCAGTACCTTGTAAAACCCAGGGTTGTAGAGCTGTTCCCCAATTCATTGTTATTGGAATTCTTTAATGACGTTTTCTAATGATAATCAAACCGTGCCCGTTTTAAGATTAGGGAAACTACGTAGTGTTTTGATGTAAAGACATAACAAATGTGCGTCTGCATATTCGCACAGTACACGATGAAGGCTGTAGCTCTGAAGTTTTAAAATCACCGTATTTTATACTGTAGCTGGGTGGAGAGCTTCAAGGAAACAGTGAAATAGCATTGAATCCGGGTTGTGTAAGAGCAAACTAATCCGAGGTGGCTGTTATTTAAGCACGAATGGTAACATTCTAGTAAAATCGTTTACTCTTTAAACTATTTTAAAGTGATTTCATGTGGTATGCAATGCTAACCTACATTTACGTAGGTTATTTGTATACGTTTGGGAAATAAGCACGCTTAACGCAGACCCTAGCGTTTTAAAGGATTGACATGTGTACTGTGCGTGTCTTCGCAGTGTTTTCACGGTTAATAGAACTGCTTTTAACAGACCATAGGTTATTGATGACAACAGTGTAGGGGACCCTGAACTGCACACCAGAGGGTTGCGGGTTCGAGCCCCAGGTGGGACTGTGCAGTCGTACTCTGGAGCAGGCGCTGCTCCACCTAGATGCCATCGCTGGGCAAGAAAGGGGCAGAGCTGAACGAGATGTGCCACAGGGTGGGGTTCGGTAGACTGCACTGGTGTAATTAGCGTGTCTGTACTCTGCAAATAATAATGTCAAGGAGGTCGGTCACTTAAGATTGGATTTGGTGAATTTCTGAGTCAACTACAAAGTAAATAAGGCTCAATGAAAGTGTTTCTGTTTTGCTGCTATAATAAGTTTACTGTGCAGCGTGCCCTTAAAATCTCATTGGTGTGCTGTAACTCGGTGACTGTTTCTGAGCTGGCCAGCCATCAAATGAAATACGTCAAAGTCTGATGGTTACATTTAGTTTTTTTTTAGTTGAGCATTTAGTTTTTATTTTCCACTTTTTATTTGGAAAGTGGATAAATCACAAGACCGTTTTACCTCACAGATGGAAAAGAGCAGAAATAGAAATAAGTGTTACAAATTGGGTAGTTTGAGAACACAAGGTGTTTTAATTTGCATTATGCAGAAGGCTTTCCTTCAGAGGATCTGCAAACACTATATTTTTTCACATGGTGGATATAAAAATGTCTAGATCTACATTAGATTCTTTTTTATCTTCATTTGTGTTAACGTACAATTCTAGCAGGTCATCTTTCTCTATAAGAATGTACAAAGGCTTCAGTGGCCATTCCTGCCCATTCAGCATTTGTTAGACAAATCGGTCATAGGACACATTTATTCTAAGAGTTTTCTCATCTTAGTCACTTCTAATGCAGAAAACCCACAAGGCAGCAATCTTGTCTTAAGAGAACAAGTACAGTGTATGCATTTTTCTTGAAAACCTAAAACTAGCCACTTTATCTGCCAGGAAAATTCTAGTACTATCTTGAAATACGTATTTGATAGGATTGGCAAATTTTGAAAGAGAGAAGAGCATTCACAGAGCCACAGATTAATTTATTATAGCTCTCTGACTTTATAACAGCTCATTCAACCACACAGAATGCAGCCTAAATAGTTCTTTAATTCTTTAACTCCTGTAACTCTTGGTACACCGGTAGTCAGAGTTTGAAACCTAAGCTAAACAAACCTAAACAAAAATATCTCTACTGTAGTAAGATTGTCTTTATATAAATACTATATATATATATGCACTGGCATTTATGACTAAGGTGCCTAATGGACAATCTTAACACAACCTGCCTAAGAAAAAGGTGGATTTCATTGTGTCTGTGATAAATGAGACCTACTGGCTTTTAGAGTTTTAAAGGGACAATGTTATACTATGTCAAGAGAAATACCCTAATAATAGTCCTAAATGTCTATGTACTAATTATCCCTGTTCTTTTCACCACAAGAATTGAGACTTTAAAATCTGTAGTGCTGGTTTGGAATGATTACATCTGGAACAGCACTTGAAGCTTGAGATGTATTAAATAATCAAGGTTACATAATCTAAGACAAAACATTTCTTTGAGAACAGAGATTATTATTATTAATAGGTGCAATTATTTGTCTTAGGTTTGCAGTATGCTTCCTTTTTTCCCACAATGCCTCCTGGGTCAACACCGCAGCTATGGTGTGTTTATGGAGTCCAGTCCTTTTCTGTCTCCGAGTCCCAGTTTGTTTCCATCCCTCTGGAGCCGGAGAGCAAACCTTCGGCCTCGTCTTCTCGGCGTCCGGGCAAGTGCAGACTGAGCCCTCTCTCGCGGGGCGGTGCTGGCGAGAACGGCCCTGCTCGCAGACGTCTCCCAGCTGCCTGCACTGGCCCCGTCTCTCTCTCTCTCCCCCTGTCGGGCAGGCGGCGGCGGCGGCTCGGCCCATGGACCCCCTGGGAGCGCGCTCGCAGTTCCTGGACGTCCAGACCCTGCCCGGCTGGGACCAGCCTCAGGAGGGGGGCGATGAGGCGGACGGCCATCGGCCCCGCAGCCGGGCCGGCCAGGACAGGCCCCCCTCCTCGCCGTTCCCACACAGGGACGACATCAACCGGAAAATCATCCTCTTGTAAGTTCGCCCGCTCTCTTATTCTGGACCGGCCACGCTTCGGCGCCGTCTGACTTTGTGCCTTTGTGACTTTGTGTACGGGGGTTGTACCGTCCGTTTTGAATGGCTCCATCTGTATACCGTACCTCCCAGTCTCTCTTCAGCTCTGCGCTTCAGACACAAGTTTAAGTCCCAAGCCTTCGCCAGCAGTAGTGGCGTTATGTGGCGGTCTCGGTTCAGGGAAGAGAAGTGAGTTGAGAGAGGTGCACGGGCTTTTGAACAGGAGGAAACGTGGCTGGTGATTGGCTGTGATGTCACCAGGTGGAGTGGGTCTCCCTGCCCTACAGGTCCCGGATTGGTTGATCGTCTTCAGATGATCTGGACCATCGTCCAGATGTGCCTGTGGCTCTGTTCCACGCCAGAGGTGGACGTGCATCATGGGAAGCACTGTCCCGAGAGGTGCTGCTTATCAGTCAAGCTCAAGCTTGCATTCCAGGACACAAGGGGCATCAGGATAAGGGGCCTCACTAAAAGTCCACAGCAACACTTAACTCTCTAATTTATTAACAAGCTCTGCTGCTACACGTTAGACGCTGAATGTGGGAATAATTCTCGAAGAATGTCATTGTATGCCTTAATCATTTAACTGGAATAATCTGAGACCAGTCACATTATTGAAATCCATTTGAAATGCATTTCATGATGCCCTGTGCCACAGAGTAGTAACTCGCAGAGTGCACTGACAAACTTTATCTGCTAGAGAAGCTGTCAGCTCATGTCTGCTAGATTGCCCTTGTAAAGCAGTGTGTAAAGCACAGTGATCTTTGCGTCTGTTGATTCGACAGATAGATGCTGTCAGATGTTTGGATCTGTTCTTCAGTTTTGGTTCTGCTCGAATCATCAGTCTGCTGAGAATATTATTTTCTCAGTTGATTTGCTGTAGGAATTGTCCTATCATTCATTGCATTCGTTGAAAAATGTGTGTAGACTGGAGTGGTCAAGCATTCGTGCATTTCAAGGACAATATAAGCATGGACCTGAGCAGCATCTGGCGAATTGTAACTGATTGATTTCTGTTCCAAGCTTTCTCTTTTCTGTTGTTTTTAGAGGGGACTCTCTCTCGCCAGAGTCAATTACAGACTTTTGTTTTGTGCAATTTTGTGATGTTAAATGTCTGTCTGTTCTTCTCTTTCGAGTGGTGCAGTCATAAATTGCAGGTCTTGCAAAATAATTAGGGCTGCTAGCCTTGTGCCCAGCCTCCAACACAGAGGACCTGGCACCCATATCAGGAAAAGGCCAAGCCATTCGGGAAACAGTTTTGGTAAACCAAAACTTTTTTCTCTTTAACCTCTCTCTCATATAAGGGTTATTCCCAAAAATTGCTTGATAACTTAAAAGCTTTCAGGTGAACCTGTATTTTCTGGGCCTGGCAAACAAATCCGGTTCACTTTCAGTGTCAAGACAAAACATGTGGTAATCCCATGAGTCTGTGCTGCTGCTCGTAGCGCTGGTATTGGTCAGGAGGGTCACATGTTGTAATGGGGACGTACTACTTGAAAGCAGAAAATAGATCTTTATATTTGCTTTTTCAGATTTTTCAGAAAACAGACCCACTACCCTGAGATTGAGTCTCACACTCTACCAACAGAGCTAGGCGCAATCCCCCTAATATATTGATCCACATCAATAAACTCAAAATATCCCTCTCTTTTGTTTTTATTTTATTTAAAATCCAAATCTTTTATTTAGTGCCTGTTATTGAAGCCCTTTATTTTCTGATCTAATGTTAAATTAGAATTAAAAACCTGGCTTTGAACCAAAAATACAATTCATAAGTAATACTTTAATTGCCAGATTTCACTTTTTACTACAGGAAATAAAAAAGAACATTTGAAATAGATAAAATATTGGTACAGTTATTTATTTTATCTTGAACACAATCCCATGTGATTTTAAAATGGCGATTTACAGGAATTTTCATTGTATCTCAGGCACACATTTTTTTTCTCTCATACCAATGCCACATAAAGCTATGCGACTGTTTCAGTGTTTAAATAGCTCTCCTCGCAGGCTGGCCTGGAAGAGATGACACAGTGCCAGGATTAGTCACAAGATAGTTGAATGCACTAGATGTCTGCCTTTCAGGTTCAAGTATCATTTTCTGTGAAAAAAGCAAAGGAACTGAACAATTGTTATGATTCTGGAATAATTGGTGCGTAAAACATAAAGCCAAAAAAAAAATGGTTCCAGCTCGGAATCAATAAATAAGCAATAGTGTGGCTCAGAATGCTTTTGACAGAGCCAAACATGCTTACCTTGTGCATCTGAAAGAGGACAGGAATGCGTCCACGTTCAGGGGCTCCCACTTCTGTCTTACTGCCTTATTGGTTTTTTTCCAGCAACGGGGACGTGGCTCTCTTGAACTGCACTGCCATTGTGAACACAAGCAATGAAACCCTGACGGACAAGAACCCGGTGGCTGACAGCATTCACAGACACGCGGGCCCGGAGCTTAAAGAGGAGCTGCTCAAGCTGAAAGGTGGGTAGGGCGGCTCTGAGGAGTGGGATTCTGCTGGTTGTATTCGCGTCCTTCTGCAGGCAGAGAGTTCAAATTCCTAGTTTGGAAACTAAGCTAAGCTGTCATCCAGACCACTTAAAAAACGAAGGACAATCTTGTGATGTGCACAGAAAGTCTGTACTCGGATTCTTATGTTCTCTTTCTGTGATGCATTGAAATTATATGATCTTATTGGACGGAATTGTTGTTCTTGGACTTGATGGATTTTAACATCCTAGAAAAAACATTCAGCATTTGGTGGTGGAATTCATCGTTTTCTGGAAGACATGCCATTACACCTGCGGCCAGTCTGGAGAGTTTTGCAGACAAAGCAGTTGTTAAGAGGGGGGTTATTAAGCTCCTCTGGCAAAGTGGTACCGTGTTTTATTCGCTTAGTGAATAATTTATTCTATTCTCTGTTTTTTAGAAATCCATTTAAACGTCTTCTGCGTTAAATCTTAAACTCAATCGAACGTAAGAAAAGATATTAAATCTATGAGAAAAATATTTTTTATGTCACGCCACTGTTCATACTATTTCTAGCAATAGATAGAAATTAAAAAAGGGGGAAAATGTGTGTGTGTATATATATCTTGGTGCATCATGTGTCTGGATTGTGTTATCTACAAAGTCTTAAAGAATAAGTCAATATTCTTTGCTAAATTATATAAATAGATTGTGTGTTATTGGGTTTGGTTCTGTATTGCCTTTTTATCTGCTTCATCTGGTGCTTGCTCGTCACCCAGAGGTGTTTAAATATACAGCAGCTGATGTGTAAGCGAATGTTTTTTCATGGCTCATGTTAGGGTGCCGCACAGGTGAAGCGAAGATGACGAAGGGGTTCAACCTGGCCGCCCGCTTCATCATTCACACCGTCGGGCCCAAATACAAGGCGAAGTACCGGACGGCGGCGGAGAGCTCTCTCTACAACTGTTACAGGAACGTCATGCAGCTGGCCAAGTAAGACTCTGCGCCTCTACGGGGCAGGATGTGGTTTCGGGACAGGCTTGACGCCTGTAGGTGCTCATCCTGAGTTCTGGAAAGATCCGATGTGCTGCAGCCTTCCTTGCAGCAGAATCTGCCTCTGTTTGTACTGGTCTCCTTTTACTGTCTCTTTACCCTCTCAGTTCTGTTTAAACCTTTAAATAACTTCCTCGTCGTAATAAAATGGTTATACCCTACTCAAAGTCGCAGCTGCTGTGTCAGTGCCAGGATTTAAATTTATCTTTTAACTCCTCGTGACTCCTAAATGGACGACGACGCAGTCTGCACTGTACACGATTCAGTCAGCTTCGCACAGTCTGAAGAGGCCTTGTGCTGATGAACAACAGTTAGGCTTATTAATTACACTAAGCTATGCATTACATCGCTGATTAATGTTGAGGCCATAATAGCCTTGATGTGGGAAATTAGTATTTTCTAAACAGAATGAGATTAGTTTTCTTCCTAACTGCCCGTGTCTGCTAAAATGTCTTGAGCAAGGACAGAGAGCGATTGCAATCAAGAGGCGTCCTAACAAGCCCACCGTTGCTGTTCTATTACACTGAAATGCAATTAAAGCTGTCATGTAGTTATGAAGAAAGGGCATTGCATGAAAAGGCAAGCACCTTTAAAAGGTCTTAAATCTCTTAGCATCCCAAATGACTCGGCCTTTTCCTGATTGGGCACAAGGTAGAGGAAGCCTGCTTCTGCTTACAGCTAGCTGTGCAGTTCACAGTGCAGGTTTGCAGTAATTTCAATGACAAACGCGTTGCTCCTCCATTTGGTGCGACCTGGCCTGTAAGGCACCGTGATCTGATAAGCTACTCTACAAGATTCACAGATTGCGGAGAGAGGACTGTGCTCACAGGTCCTCATGCTCTCCGTGTACTGCATCGGCTTTCAGTAGCCACCTAAAAACAAATGGCAATTGCAAATCAGGAGGGAATAGAAGGGGGAATAATTGGATATTTGAGATTTAGAAAACTACTGAATATAATGCTTTGTTGTTAAGACAGAAGCAATAAACTTTGCAGTCTCTTTAATTATGCAGTCTCGTTAATTGAAATGTTTGGTTATAAATGAACAAGTGCTGTCCATATTACTGTTTAGTCCATTACTCCCTTTTGATATTTTGCTTTCCCCTCTACTTTTTCTTTTTCTGATTCCTTTTGGACTGCTTTCACATATAGTTCATGGATAGTGAGCTTCCTTCAGCTCCTGTAATCGCTCGAGTCCGGCCCAAAGATGCTTCAGGCCTTTTGAGCTGAGAAAAAACATCTTGCATCTGCGTCTGGCTTTGGGACAGCCATGACCAACCCCAGCCCATTAATTCTGGGACCTGCTGTCTCTTGGATCAGTGACCCCGAACCAGGAACAGTTGTGGGTGGTGGGCTTGTTAGAAAGTCAAACTGGTCCTCCAGTGGTTGTCTAGGGTGCAGTGATATTACAGCAGCAGTTCTTCTGCTTGATTTCGTTACGTAGAATCACATCTTGGTTCACACCTCGTGCCTTTTCTTTTTTTTGTTCCAGGGAGCAGGGAATGGCATCGGTGGCCTTTTGTGTTATTAACACGGTAAAGAGAGGTTACCCGCTGGAAGACGCCACCCACATCGCATTCAGTAAGTGAGATTGTCGAATCGTAGGCACTTTGCATTCTGTTTGCATTTGGTGCACTTTGCATCATGTCTTCTGACGTTTTTGGACAAAACGTGGACTTTTGGACAGGACTTATGACTAGATCGCATTTATATTCTTGTTTGGTGAAAAAAAAAAGAGCAAACCCTGATCCTAAACTTCATTCAAAACTCAAACCTTAACGCGTGTCCTGTGTTTGCACAAGGTGGTGAGACATGGCCCCAGGTGAGAGGCAGCCATTGACCCCGTCTTGCCTGTGTGGTAGTTTATCCAAACTTTAATCCAGCTGTTTCTTAAATGAGCCCAGAGTCTGAGCCTCAGTCTGGCTGGGACGTCTGTTCCATATCCACTCTCAATACAATAGACGGGTTTCCTAGAACTGTCCTTAGGGTTGCCAGCTGTGGCCCAGGGTCCTTCTTTCACCGCTGTCTATATCCCTTACTTGGACCAGATCTCCTCTCGGTCTCCTCTGCTCCAGAAAGTGAAGATGTTTACCTCCCTCAGTCTGTCGGTGTCCAACAGTGCCCTGAGCACAGGAAGCATTTCTGCTGCTCTTTTTTTTTTTAACTGTTTTCACCTCCCACTCCCCCTGTTGTTGTTGTTGTTGTTGTTGTTGTTGTAGTAGTAGTAGTAGCAGCAGCAGCAAATCAGACAAGTTTGCACACTGTGAAAGAATCGAGGCCATTGAGGTAGATCGGGGGAGCTGTTGGCCTAAATCAGATTTCTGCAATGCACCACTGCTCACGCCTGCCTGTTTGGAGGTTATGCCTCATAAGATTAATGAACTGTTCCTTCTCCGAGAACCAGTTCTCAATCCATGTTCATTCGTCACTTTAGAGTCCCGTAGATTTTAATTTGAGAATCAGCCTTTTAATGAGGAACCTAATCAAATGCTCTTGGGAAATCTAAATCTGACTTAAGAGTCATGATATTTAACATCCTTGT